CAATATTTGTTTGTTTACTTAGCCTCGGATATTGATATCATTTCTTTTGACCGCTCTCTTCTTTGATAACTCTGAAAAGACAATGAAGGACGCAACAAAGGGTACCGCATCGATGAGCTGTTACAGAGCTACGCTTTACTGGACCGTACTAGCAAGCGCAGCGGAGAGCGCTGAAAATCGCATAGCCGTCCTCAGTCACCCGACAATTATGCCCAAGGTCAAGGGAACTCTTTAGAGACGCAATGAATGCGGTAGCATGGCGGTAATGGGGACATATCAGGCACTCTCAAACTCGTATTCTTAAATAGCCCTCTCATGGCACTAGACGACTAGCAATCTGGACTGCCAGTATGAAATCCTTTTTTCCACTTCTAGATTTGGTTTCAAAATCGTCGCGCAAGATGGCGAAGACGGGAACTTCAATCCACTCTGCAGTCAAATTCATCTCAACCGCCTTCGGTAGATGATGCTGCGGCAACGACTCCCGGATCGGAGTTATAGATATGGCTGTGATAAATTTCCCTAACAAAAACTATAGGATTCTTCTAATGTATTTATGTTTTTCTTTTTTTTGAGTTGCGTACTATCGGTTGGCTACTAGTCCTCATTCGATGAGGGCTTAAAAATATTTTTTTACAAAAGTCTACTGAAATCATTTAGCGAGGTTAAAATTCAATCAAGTGGAGGAGAGTTCGAACTCAGGTTATGATAAATTCCCCTCAGTGGATGTTCTTTCCAGTTGAATAATACGTGAATTGGTTATCAGTAGAGCCAGCCTTGGTGATTTGGACCAAAGTCCTCAATGTAGGCTGTTGGAAGTCTTTCACCCTGCATAAAATCCTTCCACAAGTTATCGGATTAATGTGAAAGGAGTGATTTGAGTTAACTTACTTTACGAGGTGAAAATCTCGGCAGATTTGTTTCATGGCGGAAGGAAAAGGTGTGGGATGCGATAGCTGAACGCGCCGGCTAGAAGCTGTTGATCCTGGAAGATCCTGTATGCCTGATGATGACGACGACTTGCATCAACAATAAGTGGTAAGGGAAAGTTGTGGTGAAAGGTAGTCTTCAACGAGCGGCACATGTGGAATTGGTTGAAGAGAAATTGTTTTTTGCAATTTTACATTACCTCGTTGGTTAATCAAACGAACACACCATCGCCCGCTGCCTAAGAGTCTCTCACTTTCACAGCCTCACTTCATCTACAAGTAGAATCGTTCTTTGTGGAGTTCTTCTGACGGTCAAACGATTAGAGCTGATTTCTTTCCAGCCGGTGTCTCGTACGGCATGTGACGAAATTTGCTTTTTGAAAGACCTTATACCTTATTTGAAGATGGAATGAAAGGAGGACATGCTCTCAAGCCTTAAGCTCAATCATTCCCAGGGAATTATCATCAGGTAGTTAAATGAAAACACAGGGAATGGGATAGGCTACTAGGAGACCTCAATGAGGCTAGTCAAGTTTGCTATACCGAAGGGATTCACTCTGGGTGTAAAATACATATTACAATGGCAAAATCGAAAAGATCTTTTCGTGGTATTAAAGTTGAATTAGATAAACACAATAAACCACTGACAAAAAGGTGTGAAAGTGGATAGCCCTCCTTGCCACTGAGTGTAT